GGTGTGGTGGGTGACCTGTGCCTGTGGTCCCAGCTACTTGGGAGGCTGAGGCAGGAGGTTGGCTTGAACCCTGGAGGTGGAGGCTGGAGTGAGCTATGATCTCGCCACTGCACACCAGCCTGGGAAACAGAGTGAGATTCTGTCTGAGAAAAACGCCCGGTTCGGTGGCTCATGGCCGTAATCCCAGCACTTTGGGAGGCTGAGGCGGGAGGAGGTCAGGAGTTGGAGACCAGCCTGGCCAACTTGGTGAAACCACGTCTTTACTAAAAATACAAAAATTAGCTGGGCCTGGTGGCACGTGCCTGTAATCCCAGCTATTCCGGAGGCTGAGACGGGAGAATCGCTTAACCCTGGAGGCAAAAATTGCTGTGAGCCCAGATCGCTCGGGAGGCTGAGACAGAAGAATCACTTGAACCTGGGAGGCGGAGGTTGCAGTGAGCCGAGATGGCGCCACTGCACCCCAGCCTGGGCGACAGAGTGAGAATAAAAGCACTGAATGAGGCATCTTTTGAGCTAGGTTCTGGGGTGAACAACGCTGTGAACACAACAGTGACAAGAATGACCCCAGGCCCTGCCTTACAGGGCTTAGTCCGGTGGGGATAGACAGACCCATCCTCAGACAGTGACAGCCACGACTGGTCAGGGCTGTGGGTCCCAGGCCGAGTAGCAGGGACTGTGTTGGGGAAGCGGGTGCTACTGCGCAGGCGCTGCGGGAGGCCATTGGTGCGCAGGCTCCGTGGGAGGCCATTGGTGCGCAAGCGCCTTGATTCCCGCTAACACTACTGGGTCACGTGGCAGTCACGAGGCGGCCACTATTGAGCTCAACGGTAAGTGCAAATCCACCTGGACTGGGGTCTGGGCCCAGAACTTTCCCAGAGCTTTCTGGGCCCTCAGATCGCCCTCAGACCCTTCCCCCAGCTCTCAGGCCCCTCCCACCCTGTCTGTCTCTTCCGCCCTCAGACCCCGCCCCCACTCCTTTAGCAAACGCTGTCCTCATTCCGCTGACCCCTTCCCCAGACCCACACACTGTCCTCAGAGCCCCTTTCTCCAGCCTGCTGCCCCCACCCCCAACACAGACCCTTCCCTAGTCCTTAGTCCACATGCCCCACCCGCGGACCCTCGCACAGTTGGCCCACTCCTCCTTCAGAGCCTGCCCGCTGCCCTGAGACCCCACCCCCTCCGTGGACCCCACAGACGTCTCCAGAGCCTCCCCACAACCCCTCTCACCGCCTCTCAGATCCTAAACCACAGGCGCCTCTTGCTCCCACTGCAGCCTTCAAAGCCTCCTCCCGAGCCCTCCAACTCCTTTCCCGGGCTCAGAGCCTATCCTCGCCACCCTGGCATGCCTGACCCCAGCCCTAAGCCGCCTCCCAGCCTCCCTATTGCCTTACATCCCCCTCAGCTCTCAGCCTCCCTTCCACCCCAGACCTTCTGGTGAGTTGTTCTCCCAGAGCCACCCCCTTTTCTCATTCAGCCACCTCCCTTCCCATCAGACCCCTCCTGAATCCCCTTCCCGTCTAGACTGCGCCCCCAGGGCCCCTAGCCAGCTCCGTCTTTATTGTTTTGTCGTCCCCAAAGTTCTGGTGTTTCACATCCCCCATGGATCCCTGCCCAAGAGCAGACTGAGTTGCAGCCCACAGATGCCCTCGCCACCCTTTCGCTTCCCGGTGGAGCTGGGCTCCGAGAGGGATCTAGATACCCAGGTGGGCCGTCTGCACCGCCTGGCGGTGGCTGGGGGCCCAGGATGGGTCCTGGCCAGACTCCTGCGGAGAGGTGAGGGCCTGGTTGCGGGTACATCTGTGGGGACGGGATCACGTAGCTATACGGAGGGTGTGGCTTCAGTTGGCCAGTCAGCACTGGTACAGATCACCTGCTGTGCGCTGAGCTCTGAGCTCTATGGTCCTGATGGGGATTGAAGGGTGAACATGATCCTTGGATCCACTGGGAATGAAATGCAGTGGGATGAGGATGAGATATTAGACAGCATGGCCTTTCAGGTGGGGGTTGCTTGAGCCTCACAGTGTAAGAGCCAGCTATGCAAAAAAGGGGAAAAGTAGTGGGGACAGATGACCGGGCATGGTGGCTCACGCCTGTAATCCCAGCACTCTGAGAGGCTGAGGTGGGCGGATCATGAGGTCAGGAGATGGAGACCAGCCTGGCCAACATGATGAAACCTCGTCTCTACTAAAACTACAAAAAATTAGCTGGGTGTAGTGGCAGGTGCCTGTAATCCCAGCTACTCAGGAGGTTGAGGTAGGGGAATGGCTTGAACCTGTGAGACGGAGGTTGGACTGAGCTGAGATCTCGCCACTGCACTCCAGCCTGGATGACAAAGTGAGACTATGTCTCAGAAAAGATTTTTACAGTTTCTGTTTTGGTTTTTGTAAAGTTGATTGTGTTTCAGACCACTTTCTGAACTTGCTTACTAGTTGTATTTTTTTTTTTTTTTTTTTTTTTTTTTTTTTTTTTTTTTTTTTTTTTTTTTTTTTTGAGACTGGGTCTCACTCTGTTGCCCAGGCTGGAGGGCAGTGGATTGATTTCAGCTCACTACAACCTTCGCCTCCTGAGTTCAAGCAGTTATCCTGCCTCAGACTCCCAAATAGCTGGGATCACAGGCACTCACCACCACACTTGGCTAACTTTTGTATTTTTAGTAGAGATGGGTGTTTCACCATATTGTTCAGGCTGTTCTCAAACTCCTGACCTTGTGATCCGCCCACCTCGGCCTCCCAAAGTGTTGAAATGATAGGTGTAAGCCACCAGGCCCAGCCAATAGATTTTCTTATGTTGAATTATCCTTGCTTTATAAGGACAAATCTGTTTTATTTTACTTAAGGTTTTTGCATATACATGTGATTGATATGTAATCTTACTTTCTGTTTCCGGAAACTTTCATCTGGTTTTGAAATTAAGATCCTGTTAGCCTTATAAAATGAGCTTTGTCTTCTTTTTCTATTTTTCTTTTCTTTGGAACAACTCATATAAGATTATCTAGTCCTTAAAGTGATTTGTGTTTTAAGAAGAGCCCTCGGGCCAGGTTCAGTGGAGTGTGTTGTAGTCCTAGCTGCTCATTAGTCTGAGGTGGGAGCATCCCTTCAGCTCAGAAGGTCGAGGCTACAGTGAGCCATGATTGTGCCACTGCACTACAGCCTGGGTGATGCAGTGAGCCCCCAACTTTATTTTTATTTTATTTTATTTTATTTTAGAGACAGTTTTGCTCTTGTTGCCCAGGGTGGAGTGCAATGATGTGATCTTGGTTCACTGCAATCTCCGACTCCCAGGTTCAAGCGATTCTCCTGCCTCAGCCTCCTGAGCAGCTGGGATTACAGTAATGCGCCACCACATCCAGCTAATTTTGTATTTTTAGTAGAGACACAGGTTTCTCCATGTTGGGCAGTGTGGTCTCGAACTCCTGACCTCAGGTCATCCGCCCGCCTCTGCCTCCTGATGGAGGCCAACAGTGCTGGGATTACAAGTGTGAGCCACCATGCCTTTAAAAAAA